AAGTTCTTCAAAACCAGAAACCCTCCAAAATTAAATAATTTAGATTTCTTGGTATTACTAATAACTGTGACCTATAGCTGTAGACTGAGAACTAGAAAGAAAGTCCTAGAATGGGGCTGCATTTCAGTTCCGGTCCTTAGAGAAGCAAACTTCCAGATAGTATTGGACATGCAAGAACTTTATTGAGTGAACACCAATGAAGGATAAAGGGAAGGAAGCAGGAGCCAGTGTGTGTGTGTGTGTGTGTGTGTGTGTGTGTGTGTGTAGACTTCAGACTACAGTGCAGGTCTGTTACCTGGGAAAGCAAAGGGGGAAGGAAAGAAGACTGTTTAAGAAGAGCCTTAGAGTGTGGCATAGTTCTAAGAAAGTTTTGGCCATGCCACCATGGAATCCATGAGCACAGCTTCTCATTAGAGGAATCTTGCATTTCTTGAGAACTGGCCTTCACTAATACCCCTGCTGTGCTCAATTGTTAGGGGAAGTGTGGCCTCCCTTGGTGTTGGGATTCAGTGGGGCAGCTGCTGAGGCTGAAAGTCAACTATGCTCCTTGCAGCAGATCTGAGTGGGGTATTTCCATGGATGATGCATAGGATAGCAAAGGGTCAGATAATTCTTCATGCCAGTCCCACAAACAGCCCATGCTTACCACAACCCTTTCACTTTCCGCTGTACAATGCCATACTACAGGATGTACATATTATTATTATGTTTGTCTCGGCCACCATGGAAATTTCAGGATCTAATGATGGCCTTTTTACCCGGGTGAGTTGAATGGAGTGGAGGAGAAAAGAGCCATGAGAGGGGATATGGTTGGTGGCCTGGCCAGAGTAGTCCCAGAGTGGCCAGCCTCATGGGCAGAGGCCTAGGAGAGAGCTAGTCCTTGGGAAAGGCTGTCCCCTCAGCTTTGACCTTTCCTAGAGAACATTTGCATTTTCTGTGCTCCATTTTGTGTCATGCCTCAAGACAGAGAATGCATATAGATGCCAAAGCAGAGAATAAACTAGCACGTAAGTTACTGTAGCACCGAATGTCACACTGTTACTTTTCTAAGAATGCTGATGTTCAAATTTAATTTTTCTACCTTAAACATGTGAATTCTATTACAAGTTAGCATAACTAAAAGTGAATTTTTATACAATGTTTATATTTTATAGGGTTATTAATCATCAGCTTTATTACATTTGTTTCTTTTCCTTAGATTAGACTGTAGGCCACTCTCTGCCTTGTCAGGGCGCTTCATATCTACCGAGGATCAATAGACCCCTCAGGTTGTCTCCTGGGGAGTAAGAACATGAGAGATCAGAGAGAACCTGGATCCCTAGCGCTACTGTTGTGGCCTAAAGGAAGGGGTCATTGCTCTGGCTCCCTATGAGGCCAACTGGGCCTCACCAGAAGCAGGCGACAGGAGATGACTGGGCTATTCTCCCACATCTCCTTACTTCTTGCCTGACAATAAACCTCTAAGGTAATCTGGGTGCCTGAGTGACCCTTCTCTGTAACGAGGAAGAAACTGATTAATCCTCAGATGATGAGGATCTGAGGTGAGAAACATCTCCCGAGGCTTGAACAGGAAGCCTGTTACTGGGTGACTGAATATTGTAGGATATAAAGGAGTCAAGGGAGTCTTCCAGGTTTTCTGCTTGGGGCACTGGGGGGATGAATGCACAACCAGTGGGGGTAAAGGACACAGGAAAAAGGTCAAGTTTGGAAGGAGTGTGAAAGACTCAACTGAAGCAGATTGAGTTTGAGGTACCCGTGGGACCATTTGGGACACACCTCTAGCAGGCAGCTGGATAAAGAGGTCTATTCTGGTTATTTATTGATACCTAATAAACTATCACAAAACTTGGTGGCTCAACACTGTGGTACCCAACCCCCAGGGCCACAGCCCAGTACTGGCGACACCTGTTGGGAATCTGGCGTGTATCACCACCTGAGCTCTGACGTACCCACTCCCTCCCATCCGTGGAAAACTTATCTTCCATGAAACTGGTGCCAAAAACGTTGGGGACTGGTGGCTTAACACAAATATATCATTTATTTTCCCATATTTCTGCAATTTGGGCATGGTGGAGAACAGCTCATCTTTGCTCTACGTGAGTGGTGTCAGTTGGGGTAGCTTGACTAAGGCTGGGAATTCCAATTCCAAGATGGCCTCACCCACATGCATGGCAGGTTGGCATTGACTGTTCACTGGGAACACAGCTGGGGATGTTGGGCAGCAGGGGCCTCAGTTTTTCCCCATTTGGCCACTCCAGGTGGCTAGGTTGGCCTTCTCACTATGTGGTGGTTTCTGGGTAGTTGGATTTCTTATGTGATGCTTTCTCCAAAGGGCAAAAATGAAAGCTGCTATCAAAGATAAAAACTGAACAAGTAAGGAAGTAGATTTTATTCAGGCAATTGCAATAGGTAGAGTACACTCCAGATTGGAAGACTAGTGCACCTTAGCAGGGTGGTTTTGCCTTATATTATTATTATTATTATAGTCATTCTTTTCTTTTTTCTTTTCTTTTCTTTTCTTTTCTTTTCTTTTCTTTTCTTTTCTTTTCTTTTCTTTTCTTTTCTTTTCTTTTCTTTTCTTTTCAGAGATAGGGTCTTGCTCTTGCTCAGGCTGGTCTTGAACTCCTGAGCTCAAACGATCCTTCTGCCTCGGCCTCCCAGAGTGCTAGGATTACAGGCGTGAGCCACCACATGGGTCTGATAGTTATTATTTTAGAGATAGGGTCTTTCTATGTTGCCCAGGCTGGTCTCAAACTCCTGGGCTCAAGGGATGCTCCTGCCTCATGCTCCCCTTCCACATAACTGGGACTACAGGTATGCACCACTGTGCCTGGCTGCCTTAGACTTTTTTTTCTTTCTTTTTTTGTTTTTTTAAAGAAAATGGTGTAGAAGACATACTTTTATAGGGAATTATATAGAGGTGAGATGATGACAGATGGGATTGTTTTTGTAATCAGAAGAGGTCTCAGCCAGGAAATACTTATTCCTGTGTCCAGCTAATTTTAAGGGGACAGTACTAATCCTGGCTAATCATGCAGGAGACAAAGAACAGGAAGCTGAAGGGTGTCTGAACTTGCCAACAGGTTCAGGCAAAAAGGGAAAGGTCTTGGCCTTGTCACAGGTCATCAGTCTTGTGAGAAAGAGTGGACAATGAGTCTCATTTAAGTAATGTAGAGAAGGGGAGTTCTTTGTGGTAAACCATTCCTCGCAACACAAAAGGTGGTGGGACTGCTTTACCATCTCTGTTTTATGGACTCCAATAAAGTTGAAAGCTGTCACTGCAAAGTCTCTTAAGACCTAGGCCTAGGAGAAGCAGGGAGCCATTTTTGCCATATTCTATTGTTTAAAGCAGGTTTAAAGCAAGTCCAGCCCAGATTAAAGGGGAAGAGGATCATACAAGGGCGTGAATACTGGGAGGCATGGTTCATTGTGGTCCACCAAAATAACAGTCTACCACAGAGCTTTGGACTGAATGTATAGTATGGAATTCCATTAGTATAATCTCTGTGGTAGCTGAAACTATGGGGTGGGATCACTCGATGGGGAGACACAGTGGTAATTGCAGAAAAGAGTCCATTAACTTTGCAAACATGAGAATGGTGTCCTGAGGGTTATGATTTTCCTACTTTCTCATTGCCCTTGTTAATAGTGTTTCTTTTTTTTTTAGACACAGGGTCTCCCTTGAATTCCTGGGCTCAAGTGATCCTCTCACCTTGGCCTCCCAAAGTGCTGGGATTACAGATGTCAGCCAATATTGTTTCTTAATATATTAATACATCCATTCTACTATTTTCAGTGATTTTTTTGCTAGTCCTGTTTCTTGATCATCCTCTCAGCATTCACCAGTTTAACAGTAATGTTTACTGGTCTATGCAGAACTCCCAAACAGGGAATTTTTACATTTCATTTATTTGCCCTGATTGAATCTGGCCAGAGGCACTAACTTAACCCATTCAGCTTTTATAACAGGGAAGGGGTAACAGAAAACAAGGGGATCCCTGTGTGGAGTGTTTGTCCATGAACAAAGGTCTCCCACACAGGAACCTCCCTCTGAAGCTAACTAACTTTGGGATGTTTGACTTGGTTTCCTTTTTCTGGACTCAACAGTATCAATTTCCTTTAGAGCTCTTTGTGAAGATAGGCTAATAAAAGACCATAAATCTTTTTTACTAGGTGAAGCCTTTACCACTCTAATTAGCATTACCATTCAAAGGCTTTCATATTGAGGAAACAAACACCAGCATTCCACGTGCTTGGGTTAAAGGGAGTCTTAAATCAGGATTAAGCAGAGACTGAGGGCAACAAGACAAGGAATTTGAAGTAGCCTGAGTTCTGATAGTTATCAGGCCTTTATGGAGATACCACAATGCTGAAGACAGGAAGACAGTGTCCAAGGTGAACAGCAAAAGATAAAGCCAACTCTAGTATTGTGGATTTGTAAAAAAAACAACAACAAAAAAACAAAACCAAAACCAAACTTTTATTTACCTATGGATTAGATTATAAAGCAGGTCTGCACAAAGCGCTTGTGACTCCCCCAAAGCGGAGTTGGGTAAGTTTCCGAAAGAAAGTGACAGATGAACTGGGTCTGAAGTCTACTCAGTTACAGAAAAATGTCGAATGTAAGGCCATTTACATGCAACAAGGCAAAGTAAATTCCTGGGGCAGGAGGGCCAGGCTCTCAGGGAGGGTCCCAGAGCCTGATTTCTCTCTTTCTCTGTCCCACCCCAGGAAGGTGGTGGTAGGTGTGGGGCTCCGACTATGACCCAGTAGTGGGTTCCCAGCTGCGCGCCAAAAGGGAGAGGGAGACAGCCCTCACGCGCATGCGCCAGGAGGCCGGCCGGCTCGGCAGCGGAGAGCTCCGTCCGTGGCTCACTCCCCACCTACTAGCGTCTCGCGCCTCGCGGGCTCCAGAAACCTGGACCGGAGAGCGAGCGCGTCGCGCGCCCGCGCAGTCTCCAGGCCCCGAGCGGGCGCCTGCGCACGAGCTTCCCGGGAGCGCGGGCTGCGGGGTTATTAGAGGTGGAGCGCGGGGAGGGCGCGCGGCAGGAGGCTGCCGCCGTTACGGCGCGAGCGTGGTCACGTGGCCGCTGGTCACCGCCGCCACCCCCTCCCACCCTGTTCTCTTTCAGGTCGGGCCGGGCCCGGCCGGTTCCGCGAGCGCCTGGCAGACTGAGGGAGAGAGAGAGAAAGAGGAGGGGAGGAGGAGGAGGATTCAGGGAGTAGGAGCTGGGGAGCACTTCCGCGCCACAGGTAAAACAAAATGATGATAATCATAAAAAAGCCCGAGCCCCCACCCCGAGCGCCTCCGCCTTCCTCCAGTGCAGCCTCCACATGCAGTCGCTCCCGCCCCGGCGTCCCCCTCAGCCTCTCAGGACGGTGCCGCCTCCCCTCGCGCCGCCGCCGCCGCCGCTGCCGCCTCCCGGGAAGGCAGGCCCAAGGCTGCCGCCGCCGCCGCCACCACCCGTTTTAGCGCTTCCCAGAGCCGGCGTGGGGGTTGGGTGGCTCCCTCAGCACCGGGGCGGGCAGGGCGAGGTGGCTGCTGCCTGCCTGCCTTCCCTCCCTTCCCCAAGAGGTCGCGATCTACGCTGGAAGGCCAGCTGCAGCGAGAGGGTAGAGCCTGGCGCCTGGCTTAGGGCTCAACTTCCTGCTTGGTAAATTTCCCTGTTCATTTCAGCCCCGGGCAGCAGGCTTCCTTCACTGGCCGGAAGCGAGTCGGGCCCGGAATCCTGGAACCTTCTAAGTTGTAGCCTTTAGGAGAGAGAAGCCTTACCTTCACTTTTGGGGACCGGAAATGCCTTGTTTTTAGTACGACTTAAGTGTATTCACCTGTAAGGACGTGAGGCCTTTCGGGATATGAAGAAAAACTTTGCACAGGATGAAAGTTGGTTCCCCGCCTCTGTACCCCACCTCACTACTTTTCCTGGAAAACCTAACACAGACAGACCTTCCAAAGCGATGTTCGATTCTACAAGTGACCCAGAGTTTGTTCCATAGTAGTTATTAAATAGTTTTAATTCCCAGAATATCATCTGTGTTTAAAGTTAACATCTTCTAGATTTTTTCCTAAATAGTGACTTTCTGGAAAGAGTTCATTTGTCAATTCTGAATTGGGCTAAATCCCGAAATTTTAACATGCAGGTTTCACACCTTTGGGTCAGATTGCGCTGGAATTTCTAGACCCAGTCATTCTTTTGTACTCTTTGTACATCAAAATAAAGTCCCAATAAAACTATAAATTATTGTGTTACATAAAATAAAGCAAAGAAGCATTAAAGTAGGCATTGCTGAAAAATCTTTGAACATTTTTGCTATAAGTGGCAAAGGAATTCATTTATATATTGGTTTTTCTCTTTGGGCTTTTCTGATTCCGTGTCTTGGTAATTTTCTTATCTCTGAATTCATTTGTAAACTTGAGCATTTTTAATTTTACATCTATCTGCAGTAGTGTTTTAGAGTAGTGCTCAAACCTTAATGTGGGTAGAAATCACTTGTTAAAAATACATATTCTGATTCAGTAGATTTGTGATGCAGCTTGATATTCTGCATTTCTAAGAAGCTCCTATGCGCTGTCAGACGTGGAGCCATCCTTGAGTAACAAGGATGTAGATAACTATTGTGCAAATAAATAAAGTGATGTATTTATCAATGAATATGTTCCTTTTAATAATTCATTCCAGGTGGAGAGGTGGCTTAGGAGAAGGGGCAAATGGCCTGGTATACTGAGAAAATTTGTCTAAGGAGCTCCCTTATGCATAGTGCGCAGGCCAAGTCTAGATCCCAGGGGGAGGGGCTAGGAAGAGTGCAAATACCATCTTTGTAGGGTATGCCTGTGCCTGCTTCACCTGGCCTGTGAATTTTCCCATAGAAGTTTTGTGTACTTCTAGCCAAAAGACTTGCTCAGCTATGAGTAAGTGGGTTTTATCAACATGTACTCTAAGAATCTTGTGGCTGTGAATGTACTGATGGGATGAAAGTTTCTTTTATTGGTAGAAGTATTGAGTGTGTGCTCTCTTTTACTTAAATTTGGCCTGTTGAGTTGTGCAGTCCTGAGCCTTGGAAGGAAATATGCAAACAGTTGAGAGTCATACTTACTGCCTGTGTCCTAACTGGATTCAGATTTTTTTCTAATGTAAATTAAAAAGGTTAGAAGTGTCTTCCGTAACCTCATATACTTTATGTACATGAAAATAGTTGTACTTAACTTTTAAAGAATTTTATGGAAATATAACATCAACTACTTTTAGTATCTTAATTTTTATAGTCTTCATTCTAGTTCATTGCTTTACCTTTGTCTCTTCATTACTTTACCTTTGTTTCTTCATATTTATTAAATAATGTTTTTGACAGTACGTTTGAAGCACTTATTAAGTGCCAGGCACTGTTCTAAGTGCTTTACATGCCTTAACTCATTTAATCCTTACAACAACCTTTAAGAATACTGAAGCAGAGAGAGGGTAAATCATATGCCCTGGTTTACACAACTAACACAGAGCTGGGATTCTGGCTGGTTGACTCCACAGTCCATACTCTTAACAATCTTCTATATGTCACCTTATTAATTTAATATTTAGAAAGTAAATTAAGAATATTCTTATGAATTCCTTTTTCCTAGTAGTGTTGAGAATTATAAGCTTTACTTTCATTTTAAAAGGCAAATTTTTCATCCTTTTATTTTCCCCATTTTATTCCACTCTAAAATGAAAAACCTCAATGCTTGTAATCATTTCTGAATGAGATAATGACATTTGTGAAATTTTATTTTCCTTGCACTTGTTTGCTGGACTAGTCATTTTCTATGTCAATGTTAAATGTAAAAGATCTATTTCCTTTTAACTCTGCAAGTTTCTCAGTCTCTCATTTCCTGCCTGTGCCTGCCCTCCACCCACCCACACATACGTGGTAGATTTATTCTATATTTGTTATCCTAACACTTAGGTTTAGGGATTGACTGGGATGCTGACTTTTTATGTGGGCAATAAGAACAATATTTTAACACTGAAACATTAAGGGCGACCTCAGAATAAAGGATCTTTTAAGTTGAATACTTTGTGTTTAATACAAAATTAAGATATCATCCTCCCCCCAACTTCCTGTTTGTCTCAGACCACTAAAATCTTTGTCCTATTTTCAGCACCAGTCTGAGACGTGGTGCTTAAACACTGTTCTAAGACATTTCTCTCAACATGGATAGATGACTGGAATGACAGTACATAAAGTGTATTTACCAGAACTTGAGATGTGTGAGGTTGTGGGGTGATGGCAGAGGTCCCCAACTTTATTGACACCAGGGATCGGTTTCATGGAAGACAATTTTTCCAGGAACAAGGGGTAGGGAGCGAAGCTCAGGTGGGTGATGAGAGCCATGGAGAGCAACTGTAAGTACTGATGAAGCTTTTTCCCTTGCTTGTGGTTCACCTCCTGCTAGGCATCCTCCCTTCCTAAGTTTCATGAAAGGCAATTTTTGGTGGGGAGGGGAGGAAGGGGAAGGTAGGCCTGGCATGGTGGAGCTCTAGGGCCCTTGTCCTATTGTGGACCAATACTGGTCAGTGGCCCGGGGGTTGGGGACCGCAGGGTGATGGGATGGGAGGCAGTGGGGGAGAGGGGAGGGAGGATATTGGGGGGAGGGCCTATCGGTTCCTTCTAATAGCATCAATTGTCTATTACTGAGGTAATGATGAGTTTGGGAAGGAAGGAAGTATAACAACAAATCTCAGTTGTAAATGTTTTCTCAGAAACACATTAGTGTTTAGGAAAATGTTTATTCTACAAATATTATACAAACATTTAAAAATAATGCCTGTACAAGGATTATATGTTAGAATTGTCCAAATTCTCCCTTTTGCTCTCTTTGAATATTAGGGTAGTAGTTGAAGCCTTTGCTACATGTTCACTTGATGGCTTTTTCATTTTTTACCCTGAATTGTGCTGTGGGGTACCTGGTCCCACCAGCTCTGCTATGCTTTCTGGGCCTCACAGCTGAGTGGCCAAGTCATTACTTATTGTAAACGTAAGAGAGCATTTGTTGCACATCCAAATAGTGGAAACCTTCTAATTGGTATTTTCATTAATAACTTTAATATTTTTATAAATTCTGTATCATGATATCTGTTATAATGCCATGTTGGTCAGTTACTTAGCCTCACAGTGCCTTACTTTTCTCATCTTTAAAATCGGAATAACGACCTCATAGGGTGTTTTCAGAATAAAATGACTGTGTGTGTGGGGTGTGTGTGTATAAAATGCTAATGCTATCAGATAGGTGTTAGAAATTATGTTCTAGTATGGATAATCCACAGGGTGGTTGATCATATCCATATAATTGAGACTGACTATATTTTTGGAAATTGTAAATTTATTTGGGGTAAGGCAATGAGGGCCAAGAAAACAAAGTTTGCAGTTTTGGATAAAAACACAAAATTGGTATAATAATGCTCTTACTCCTTTGGGAAAATTAAGTATGTATAAATATGATTTGACAGCTCAGATCTTTCAAAACAGGGAAATAGGGCAGTTGAAAATTTTTAACCAATCCTTTCACACCACCACCACAGACATTTTTTAAGGATATAGTGTGTGAAGCCTAGAACAAGATCATCTTTTTTTTCTGAAGGCTTCTCTTGCTATGCCTTTTACCCACCTCAGCTGACTCATTTGTTCCTTAAAATAATTCATCTTTCTTTACATCTAACACACCTGGTCTATGGACCTTTATCGAAAACCCATGGTAGCATATGTGTCTCAAGTAAAAATGTCTTGGAATTTAGAAAGTTAAGATGGCGTATATGCTGAATATCATGAAACCTGTGGGTTGGAGCAATCACCTCATAATTAGATTAGATTAGATTAATCTAATCATAATTAGATTAGATTAATAATTATTATCAATAATTATTAATTATTAATTAATTATCACCTCACACATTAGATTTCCCAGCAAAATTATACATATCTATGCCAATTAGAATAACAAAGACTATAAAAAGCCTCACATTAGTTCAGGTTTTGTTTACAACTTAGAAAATAATTTTGGTTTTCAGAGTTTGGTTTTTGGATTTTTGGAAATGAAGATAAGAGTTTGGGTCTGTGTGTATGTATATATATGTTTTATAATTTTATATCTAATTATCATAGTTCCCATCTTCTCTGCTAGACAGAACTCCTAGAACATAGGGCTTGGCATACAGTAGATGCTCATTAATCAACCACTAGTTTGAATGAAAAAAAATCTTAAGATAATGCCATTCAGCCAT